ATTCAGGTTTCTACTACGTGGAGTTATTACGTGCGTTTTATAACGAGTATGTGTCCTTTTTTTGTTCTTTTCCTAGATTTACAGTGCCCTCGTAAAATAAAACTACGGAGCTTACGTAGCGACTGTGGCGACCGGTTATTCATCGAGCACTAAAAGCAAACTCGAAGAGAAACATGCGGAAAATGTCGCATGTATGACAGATAATATAAAAGTTACGAGAATCTCCCTTCTCCCTCCTTCCGAGAGAGCAAACATCCGTCTCTTACGCTTTCGCGTTCGGGAAATAACATTTTATGTACGTGTTAATGCAACGACATTGGCGTGACCATGAAAGAGAGCTCACTTTTCACTCGTCTACTTTCTCTCTAACGCCCATCTGTCGTTAGATTTTCTCTCACGCATACAAACACGCGGTTGTTATGTGTCTTAGATATTGGAGAATATTTATATCTCGTGGCGTTGCGCTGTTAAGACAAATACACCGTTTAAAAAATCCGAGAGATATGTGTTTTTTTTCTAAATACATTTATCTTTCTGAAGATAAATAACGTTTTGTTACTGAAATATTAAAACACATTTATAAAAATGTTAATAACAACGAATAAATTCAATTACCTCTTTTGATAACACTAGTTAGTCGACACGTGCCAGGTTCAAAGATAAGAAGAGTGATTTTTAGTAGATATTTTTAGCGCTGATTACAAATCTAAAAACGGCCTAGCATGTCAGGATTCTGAGAATCGCAAGTAAATATTCGTAGGTACTTGCTGCATCAAGTGCAAGTCAAAAGCTTTCTTTTACACGCTCGTAACACGCTCAATATTACGTTCCAGTTAAAATATAATTAATGCAAAAGGGTAAAAAATAACATTTTTTGCATATTTATTTGCGATTTTCTCGGAATCGTACTAGACAGTTTTTACTGCCAGACTCGTAATCAGCGCCAAAAAAAATTACTAGAAACCATTGATAGTATTTTCAAAACCTGAAAAAAAAGATCATATATTTTGTCAACCAGTGTAATTAGCAATTTGAACATCTTTTGTTACGTCATCTTAAAAAAAAAAATTGATGTACTTTAAACTTTATAAAACAATTCGAGTCCAATAATGTTACAGTCATAATCGTCGTTCTGCGAAACACAGTGCAAAGCGTGCTTTCTGCTCGAGAAACTGTCAAGTAACCGAGAGAAAGGTGCGATTTAATCGACACGTAATTGCATGACCGTCAAACCGTTAATTCTACCGCGCTATTACATCGTATTCGATCAGCGCGAGATAATTGGCGGGCGCTTGCTTTTTCGCGTCCTCGCGGCCTTTTAAGTTTTTATTTTCCTCGCGCGCATTGCTTAGAAGCTCCGACACTTATCTTCAATTCTCTCGCACGCTTCTCTTCGATCCTTTTTGCGCGTATATTTTCAAAAGTTATATATCAATAGATCGGCTTTTTTTCTGAAATAATATAACATTTCGTAAATTCTCTACATTATGGAAAGTAATTTGCGATCGTATCGAAAATGAAATATACGATGCAAACCGATGCTTGGGGTTTTGTAGTCGCGCGCAATGTATATAATCGTTAATCGATCTTTTGCTACTCGAACAGGTCGATGAAAGCAAAGCGCAAAGCAAGATTTCTCTTTATCTTCAGAAAGTAACTTTCTTGTCTGTCGGAATATCACGGGAATCTGCATTACGTAAGCGTCTTCCTTCTTCTTTTCCTTCTCTTCTTTCTCCGCTTGTTTCTTGCGCCTCGCGATCTCGAATTGGCTGTGTTTCGCGAAATTGAATATACATAAATGCAATTGAAACGTCACTGAAATTAAAGGCACCTTTCACAGGCAACGGAGAAACGTAACGGCTCTTTATAAACTCCGTCTAACAATTCTTCCTCCCCGCGCATTCCCACCTCGTCCTCTCTTCAATGTGATGTCCTACTTTCTTACAATATCTAAATACTGAAACATCAGTAGTGTTATAACACGCATATTTTCAGACCGGAGTACTTAAGAGAGTTCGTTTGCCGCGTGTCCGACCTGAAACGAGATAAGTCGTTTTTTCGGGTTGTCTTTAGAGCATCCTTTAAAAAGCTCACTTTCTCAAATATGATTGCTAATGACTCTCCGACCGACGGTTTCGTCTGTGATAACGGAATAAGTGCATGAATATATTAAGACATACTCGCGTCTCTTGACGGAAAAAAAAACTATATACAATCGTCAAAATATTTAAAAAAACGCCCGCGAATACACGCATATAGTTTGTACAACAAAATAAATTACATTTGTGACGAATTCAATCCGAATTTTAATTAAATATATCTCTAAATTGTTCGGTAGAACAAATTTATCATCGTGAGATTTGTAAAGTTTGCATTCTGATAAACGTGTCATCTCATGTATGCGATAAAAGAACGATTTACAAGAAATGAATGATATTTCAGATAAACAGGACATATATTTCAGATATAAACGTATATTTTAGTATCTTTCAGATAAACAGGTATATTTCAGATAAACGTTGCAGTATCTGTCGAACGAAGACACACTCTATGCGTCGTGAGCGCAATTTTGCAAAAGAAATGAAATTTGAAAGATTAATTTGAAAAATTTAAATATTTCTTTGTTCGTCTGTTATATTATCCGCAACGTCCAGTTATATTATCTACGACATATTATCCGCAACGCGCTCAAACACACGTAATAAGTGCTACGCTCCGTAAAAAACGAGTCAAAAGCTAATAACGTCCGAGGTCGATCCTCCGTAAAAAAGTAAATGATCGATGACAGGAAAGGCTGGTTCTCCTAAAAGCATATTGTGGACAAGATAAAACTTGCTCAACCGGCTCCTCGGCCGCGATGGTATTTATAATGAAACATGACTAATATCTCCGTCTCTCTTCCTCACTCTCTTTTCTTCCTCTTCTTCTCCCTCCTTCCCCCCTTTTTGTTTCTCCCTTTCCGTTCTTCTCTCCCCTCTCCCTGCCCCGCGGAATCCAATCGCCTCTGTTCTCGCTTCCCTGCTTCTTCTTCCTCCTCTCCTCCCCTCGTTCTCTCTCCCCCTCTTAGAAACGCTGTCAGAGCTCGTTATCTAGGCCAACATATGCAGGTATTATTCACACGACGCGGAGTATTTCTAAAACAAACTCGAATCCGGAGCGATAAATAAACAGGCACCGTATTTAATGTTATCGTTGGAAGATCTCATAAAACATCCTCCGTCACGAGCACGACAAGAAGAAGATATTTTCTTTCGTCTTTTTTTTTTTTTTTTTTTTTGCTTCGCGACCCCCTTTCCCTTCTCGTTCTTTTTTCCTCGCTCCTGTGCTCCGTAGAAGCTTCACGAGCTGAGATTTACCAGTGCCATCTTAGTACTTTCTTCTCTCTCTCTCTCGTCTTTTTTGTTCTATCAATATTCCTCAGTTTCGCAATTATTTCTTCTCAGACTCGGCTCGATTCAATTTCCGTTGTTTTCCGTGTATAATCATTCCAACGGACTGTGTACGAACGACTTTCGAAACTGGTTGTGATTTATGTAAAACGTATGCGAACGAAATGTAACTCTTTTAGATTCGATTTTGTTGTGTATTGCTTATTGAAACATCTACGTTACGAAATATCTTTGTATAAAACAGTTATTTTTAGAAAATATATTTGCATATTAATGCTTGCGATATATACTTGCTGTTGTTGTTATTATTATATTGCTCTGATTTCTTATATATACGAAACGCACGATAGCGATCACAATTTGATCGGTGGCAAGTTTCTCCGATTATACGGATTAATAATAAATCAACATTTGTGTGCTGTATAATCCCGTCGACTTTCTACGTGGACGAAAATTTAAATAAAATACATTCGCGTTAAAAAGAACTATACTAGTGTAAACGGGCCGTGCCTTACAAGTAACGCACGCGCGATGCGTTTGCTCTTGTACTTTGAAACTCAATGACTGTGTTTACACACTCCTCGAACACATGTTGCCTTAATCGACATAAGCGATCGTGTTACCCTGGCAGGATAGTTAACCGAAGACTTTTCACGTACGGCCACGGCACGCCACGCGCGAGATAAATATTTCCGCTAAGTAACAATTAGTAACATTTGCGTGCATTTAAAAGACGTTATTTTATACGCTTTTGCTTATAATTTTCGTGCACTTGGCGCTTGAAATATTTTTGTTACCGCGCTCGTCTATTTTGATAAGAACAAAAAAAGATCTTTGTAAAAAGGATACGATAAATCCAAAATTAGAAACCACAAGCAAATATGAAGTACAACAGTAGCATTATGGTTACAATTTCCTACTCAACAATGTAGCTGTTGTAACATGTGTTATATTGCACCTACATTGTCGAGTGAGAAATTATAACATTGCTGTAATGTTACTATTACTTGGTGTGTTTACCGGGGATTATCATTTAAAATAATGTATAATGTGTGTGTGTGTGCGCGCGCGCGTGTTCGATACATATCTTCTACTGCTGCAGCAGCGGCAATACTTTTAGTTGCGCTATTGAAGCAGAATATATTCGCGTAGTATAGATATACATCCGCGACTCTTTTCATGTTCTGCACATTCAATTATCGCAACTCTGTTGAGTTGGGACCCCGCGTTACGTCGCGAAATTACAACGTTAATAAACGGGGCATTTAGTCCGTAGATGGAAAACGCAGCTATTCAAAGAGGACTACAAACGGTCTGTCTCACTCTTCCGAGATACTCGCCCCTTCCGTAACTATGTATCTCCCTTCCTTCGGAATCAAGCCACCTCTAGCTAGGTAGAGATATCTCTCTATTCCCATCTTTCTCTATCCTCTCGGTATGTCCCCTCTCTTCATCCTTTCTATTGCTCTTGTGGTCCTGCTTATAGAATTCTTTTTCCCTCTCTGCCCCTTTGCGCCCCATCGCTCCCTTCCACCGACGAGCCCTCTTCCCCTATCACGACGCTCCCAAGCCCCACCATCGTCCTCTGCAGCGAACCGATATACTACCCGAAGTCATTGCCGCGCCGACCGCCGTGGGGAGCGCGTGTCGTCGTTGTTCTTCTGCCACGCTGTCATTCAATCAAAACGCGTTTTCATCGGTCGAGTCAACCACTCGATCTCGTGATACGACTCATGTTTTTTTAACTTCGTTCGCGTCGAGTACGATTCTCGTTTCTTCGCTCGCAGTGAGTGATTTCGAGTCCTCGTCCTTTGCGGTGCAGTGAAGAATCTCGTGTGCACATTTCGGTGAAAAAGTGTCAAATCTTATAGATTTATAACCTGGTGCGAGTGCACATACACGGATACTTAAAGTGTGTTTTTATTCGAGCACTTTGCACTTTCACGTTCATTCATTGGCTGATCTATTGTCGTAGTTGTGCGCACTTTAAGTTGCGCCCCACGTGTTGTAAGCTGGATTTTTCGGTAAGTGATTTATTGCGTTCAATATTTAACTAAATGCTGCTGGGGTTGCGTTAGAATAGTATAGGTTAGGTAAACGATAGGAGGAGGAAGAAAAGGGGAAGAGGAGGATGCCGCGTGCACAAACATTCTCGTCAGATTCGTCGCGCTACGTGGCGCCATCTTGACGTGAACGTGCGAAGCTCGGTGGCGGCGCGCGGATCGCCGTGTATCCACCGAGTGATTTCGATTGTAAAGCACATTGGATTTTGTTTTTTTAATTGATAATATTGTATCGATTTTTCTATCGTATTACGACGTGACGAAACTCAACGATTGATTTACAGAAGTGTGTGATTGACTTTAATATGCGATGCTTTTATTAAACATTTTAACCATTTTTACATATTCTAGTTTGTATTGCAAAATTATCTAGTGTTAGTCGTTTTAATTTATATTGAAAGAATTGTGCAAATATTTATCAGCTTTTTATCGTGGAGCGTATACATACAAATATAGACAATTGTGCATAAATCGATATAAAATATGTACATGTTATGATAATGAACAGTGAATCGTCCGATCTGTTAGTTCGTAAATTTTTCAAGTGAGCTTTCGCAGAAGTGTTTATCGGACGTTTTTTGCTGTGTCAACAGAGTCAGTATTTAATCGGTTTATGCTCAAGGCAAACGCTAGTGAATTGATTACTTCAGCAATTGTGGTCAATAGCGATTGCATAATTGATCATTAGACAGCAAGACATACATTAATTCTTAATAACAGATAATAACAGTTATAGAGTTGATGCATTATCGATAATTTTGTAATTCATCTTTATTAAACCTTTCAAACTTGCACGATCGTGGTTGCAGAAATTGTCAAGGCTGTTTTTTTTTTACGGCAAGAGTTTTTTAATTTGCAACTTTATTAAACACTTATTTTTCAAAAAATTTTAATTAAAAAGAAAACTCGTTCTAAAAAGTGTTAGATTTTTATTCAGACGTTACTGAATTGCTTCCGGCATATTTGGACAATTTTATAATATAAAACCGCGTTATTTATCAGAGTTCTAATCTAATTTAAAAGATAAAAATAGATTTCACATTCGCGTATTGAAGTGCACTTGAATATAACACGCATCTCGAATAGGTCGTCAAGAAACAGATAATGCGAATTATTGCGCGCGATTTGAAATGTATTTAACAAAAAAATTCTTTGCATTCTGGTGCGCTCGCAAACGAGCGGGTAGATGGAAACGACTTAATTAGTATAACTTTGCGCGACAGCTACTTACTGTATTGTGTGTGTACATATACAATGATTCAGTGTCCTTGCAGCGGGTATAATAAATTTATAGCGCGCGCGACGTTGACGCAAATCAAACTCCATATACGTTTCATGTTATTCTAAATCGTATCGGAAGAAAAATATCGTATTTTACATTTCTAACAATACTTGCACGAATAAAAACAAAACCGTTTTACAATAAATATTCTCGCGGCACATTAATACTCACGCAAAAATTAATTAAATTAATATTGTACAAATAACGTTATCAAATATACGGGTGTATATATGCGTATGCCACAGTCAATGCGTTATCGTAAATCAATAAAGCTTGAAGCGACTTTGCACACACACACACACACTCACTCACTCACATATGCAGGGAAATTTACGTTTCTCAACAAAAATGTTCAATTACTTTTTATTTGTTTCCGTTTATTTCAAACGTGTTTATTCTTGCAATATTCGCGCACGTTGTACGAACATATTTGAGATGAAAAAAAAATAGTTATTAATAACATTTAATGTTTTGAATTTTATTGAGAGAAAGAGGGGGAGAGAGAGAAAAACGAGAAGATGGGAGAATAACATTGTCTTTTAAAAAGAATGAAAATTATGAACTCTCGTTATTCTGTAACGAGATTGAAAGGAGAGTAATTTTGAATTCCCGGGCAATTTGCGGTCTTATCTTTGCGGTCTTTACTCGTGAAAAAAATCGTTTCGAACATGTGTTCAAAAGAATTCTTTATTCTACTGAAGTCTTTCTTCTCTCGTCTAATAAAATATTGAAACATAAAAGTGGTTTGACTTTGAAAGACCGTAAAATAGCATTTTTTTTACGGAGATGTATGATATTCGTGTTTGTACACGAATATCATTCATCTTGTATTAATGTGTGGCACCTTGTCTTAGATTCTATTTTTGCTTCGAGGACGAAGACCGTTATTTGCAGAAGAGAATTTTACATAATTCATATTGACATGTATGTTTCGAGTAATGACACAATAAATTCATCTTAGTGTTTGCAAATCTTCTTTTGCAAATGTGGTTTTTTTGTATAAAAACAACTTTTTCTCTGTATAAGAACAAAAGTTGAATATAAGAACAAATTGTAATTTATTAATTGTACAATACACACACGTAATTGTATTTAAATATGGTAAAGGTAATGGAATCTTGATTTTATGGTTTTACATCGCATGTAAAAAAAAAAAAAAAAATCTATTTTTCTTTTTCTTATACGATAAAAAGTTCTTTGTGTTCTCAAAATATAAAACCCAAAAAGAAAATTAAAAACTATCCGATTATTGATTAATCTTTCTCATGAAATTTTGGCTTCGAATTACCGGTTCCTTCGCGAGGAAATTCAATCTTTTTAACAAGGTACTTGTACACAAAATAGAGAACAGTGAAGCAAAGTGTGTCGTAACAAATTTGAGATCGATTACAGGGTTAAAACTTTATTGAAAAAATGCCTTTCAAAAGATCTCGAGATTTGAAGTTTTGCTTTTTTTGTTCTTTGTCAATTTTGTATTTTTTTTTTTTTTATTTTTTTTTTTTATTTGTTCACCTTCTCTTTTATTCCTTACGTTATTCCGTAGATTTACTTAGTAATTATTGATCGAGTAAATATAGCGCCGATAATTCCATAATTCGCCATAATGCCGGTTATTCCGGAAATACGCATATTCATCGTTGAACTATCGCGCTGGCTTGTAACGTAATGAGGTTTGCGTCATTCGACTAATTCCATTGACAGATATGTCAACTATAGCATATGTGCAGACGAAACTTATTAACGAGCGAGAAACTGTTGATTGACATTATTAATAAACGAAGAAGAACGTATGGAATAATTTGCTGTGCCAAAGGTTTAATAATATCTTTTAAATAATAATGTCTCTTTATAATCGACGGTCATAAATATCGACTTTTCCGATTTCCAGAAGAGGCGAGAGTTTCGCGTTCTAACGATGAGTTTTACTATCCTTTTAAAAAACACGCGCCTAAATTCGTATTGATAAATATTCAATGTTCAATGCGTGTTTTGTACACTTGATGAAAAATAACAATTTTAGAGAGCGTTGTTTTTAAATGGCCATTCATACAACGTCTTGTTTGTTATTTCATTACACAGCATTTATCATTACATAAAGGACTGCCATCGAAAGAGCGTCCGTTCCACGATAGATGTTTGAAAGGATAGATGATTCTCTACTTGTTCTTCAATGTTGCGCCTTCAATACTATGCGTCGTATAGTCGTTACTCGGCAGATAAGCTTCTATTCTAATGTAATGTCTGATGTAACGATGATAAATAGACACGATGATCGCATCGCATGTACGATTTGGAAATGTCTCAAGTATAATCTAATTACAATGCTACACACGTTACGATATTTTTACCTAATGTGATTCGTTTTTTTTTATTTTTTATTTATTATTATTATTATTATTATTATTATTGAATCAAACGGGAACGGAGAACTAGTGTATGTAATAGAATGCAAACCGATTAGTGAAGAAACGTAAAAACTTTCCGAGCAAAGTAAAAGTTATTTTACAAACATATGTGTCGAGTTTACTTTGTAAATAACGTTTGGCAAATGTCAAATGCGCGAGACGTCAATTTAAATCTTTAATAATTGCATGTCTTTGCTGACATAGCTCGATATCTTTGTATTGGTAGAATCTTCCGCAAAATTTGTTTCGATCGAACTTGTTGTTTTTACGACTGATCGACTCGTTAACGTCGCCTCACATCGGATATTAATCTGACTCTGTGTGTGTGCTCGTTAATTAGAACACAGTCGTACGAAGATAACTCGGACAGATATCCCGGGTAACGTCACGTAGCGCGATTAATAATGTAACGAGTGTACATTTTCATTACAATACACCTAGCCGCTAATTGCACGTACCGATCGACGAGATGCTATCTACGATTAGCCGCGGGCGCGTAACATTCCCGCACAGCTCCACTTTTTTCCCCAACTCGTCTCGTTAACGTTGTGTAACCGTTGTGAGTTTTTATAAGCCGCGCGCGCGCTTGTTTTTGCCGGCCATTGCATTTACATTGTAAATTCTCTTATCCCGGAAATTACCCTTATTAAATGTTTCCGAGTTCGAAAACGGCAATTGTGTAACGTAAGGCGAATCCGTTTCAATGCCGTTCAACTTCCGAAATGAAATCGCGATTATTGCTCGAGTGATATATCATTAGTGTATTGAAATTAAGATATTGTACGGATATTTAATCAGATTTCACGATTTTGACGGCTAATTAGAACGCATGATTCTTGTAATATATAAGTAATTATTTTAATATATAATTATTTCTTTAATATGCATATAAAACAAATTAACGAATATTTTTTTATCTTGTTTAAAATTCTTTTTTATATAAGTAATTTAGAATAATAATGTGTAATTATACTATGTAATAAATATATAATTATAATAACATTAGTCACAATAATGAATATTACATGATAGAAAGGAGTAAATATAAATAAAGGCAAATTTTGCATATATATAAAATTAATAAATATATACATAAAACTTTTTTGCAGTTTTTATATAATTGTTCTCTTTTTATATAATTGATCTTTCTGCGTATTTCGATAACTTTTTCTCACGAGACGATAACTCGCGATTAATTAAAATTTAATAACGACACAAAGCGCGTTACGCGAGTTAATTCGCGCACAAGTGGGATATAGAACGTGATGATTTTC